GTTGATTTCCCATTTTAAGTTTCAAGATGTTAACTTTGAGAAATCATGCTTATACGTTGTATTGGAAGTTCCAATGTTAATTAAATTGCATCAATATTGTGATTTGTGTTTCGATGTTCAAATGTAGCTTAAGAATGATTCTATAGATTCATTTGGAACGTAGACGTTAGGTGGCATGACCCACTTTAGTTGTTTTCGTATCCTAGATTGCAAGTTGATACTTTTGAGAACCTTTATCTTGTTGCGTTGTATAGTATGTTTCTATATTATTTAAATCGCATGGATGATGTGATTTATGCTAGAAATGATCTAAGGTAACTTATGATGCTCCCTGAGTCTCATCTTGACATAGATGTTAGGTGGCATGAGCCCCTTTAATATGTTTCACCTTAAGGTGATAATTTTGTAAAATGCTAGGTCAATGCATGCTCAATTCCTACAAGTAGCTTTATGTTACTCACCCCGAAGTTACTGGGGATTTGTTTTAGGTATGAAGGCTTGGTTCATGATACTCATCAGTCCTCGGATGACTTGTAGCTTTAAGTTTCCATTTCGTGCAAGTGTTAGCATGAAATGCCATTTTTTGTAGCCTTATGTATCAAAACTTGTATTCTTGGTTTCATGTATGTAATGTGTACATAAGTAAACTCTTTTCAATGTATTTGACATGTATAAGATGAGGCCGGAGGCCAATGACATGTATCTTGTATTCTATGTACTTTCGTTTTCAAGGTTTACTATGGAAATAATGGAAAATGTTAAGTCTTTGCCTCACCATGGTTGCATAGGGCGTGGGAATTCCATTCTTTTTCTTTTGTAGAGTCTCTATGATCATGCATGAGGTGTGGCCAAGGCCAAACATCATTTTGTTCTAGATTTCACATTTTGGTTTCATTTATTGCATTTTTAGGCATTTTTGGATGTTGAGAGGTTATATTTTGCATTTAGGACATTTTGAAGCCGCGGATCATTGGGACGCGTCTTAAATGTCTTTTTGTGTTTGCATGCATGTCCACTTTTCACAAAACTCTTAAGTTTCAACATTAACCTATTTTTGGGCGATTTTATGAATTTTTATGAAAAATTCATGCATGGGATGTCATTTTAAGTTTTCTCTTGCTTTAGCATATTTTGGACACTTGAATGACGCTAGGGAATGTTTTCAAACTTGTTCGGATTATGTAGAATGTATGTATAGCCTTAGAGATAGACCAAGCATGTCACACACACATTGCAGCAGCTTTTTGTGCTGCAGCAGATGTGTCGGTCGGCTGATGAGGATCAATCAGCTGGTTGACAAAGCCCTCGAGACCTTATTGAAAAACATCGTTTCAGCCGACTGATCATTGGGGTTCGGTTGGCTAATGATTGAGTTTCAGCCGGCTGACCCTTACCGTCGGTCGATCGATCCTCCCTGGAACCATTTTCTTCATATTTTCCTTGGATAACTTTGTTATTCTAACTTTGGGAGATCATATCTCTTTCATTTTAGATCTAAATTGGGTCGTTCTTGAGTCTAAATTCAAGAGCTTAAAGTTAGCTTTCCAATGGTACCAACCACTCATCAAAACTCCATTTATAGTGTGAGTTATTATAGTTTTAGTGAGATAGGTTCGTGGTAACTCTTAAACGGAGAAGGCCACTTTGATTTAATTTCATATCTTTTCCGTTCAGATTCAGAATCAGGCAATTCTTGAGTCTAACTTTGTTCATTTTTCGTTGTCTTTCCAATGGTGTGCACGGTAGCACCCATTTCAGTGTAAAATGACCATTTTGCCCTTAGTTTATTTCTTTTCAGGTTTGACATTCTTGCTTTATTGCTTGGCTCATTTGAGTTTCGAGGCTTTATGGGGAGTCATCCTGGTGCCTTAGAGGTGACGTACATCTCTTGAGACCATTTTGCTTCCGCATTTCGAATCCATTATCGGGTCATCTTTGGTTCATCACAGGACACACTGGGTTGAAAAATTCAGGGTCGTCACATTTGGATTTAAAACGAGTGAGATATGGCCCTTTAAAGTTGGTGCAATAAAGTTGTCCAAGAAAACTGAAATGAAAAGGTTCAAGGGAGGATCAGCTGACCGACGACAAGGACCAGCCGGTTGAAACTCCATCATCAGCTGACTGAAGCTTAATCATCAGCCGGCCAAAATGACATTTTTTACTAGAAAGCCTACTGGAATTGGTCTTGAGTATGTGTCAGCCGGCTGATAACTCTTGTCAGTCGACCGACATAGCAGACAGTAACAAAAACTGCTGTTGCAATGCATGGGGAAAGTGCTCGGTCCAACCTTAAAGCAATACATACATTCCAAATGACCTGAAACAAGTTTTAAAACATTCCCTAGCCTCGCTCAAGCATACACAACATGCTAAATCAAAAGGAAAGCTTGAAACTTACTTCAATGCATGAATTTTGCATAAAAATTCATAAATCATCCAATAATAGTTCAAAAGTCAAAACTTAAGAGTTTTATGAGATGTGAACATGCACGCAAACATAAAATGATGTAGTAGACGCGCTACAATGGCCTACGGCCTCATTACAATCCATTTTCAAATTTTGACATACCAAACCTCCAACTTTCACAAAATAGACTATTTTGGCAAAACTTGAGTTTTAAAACATACTTGAGAACTTTAATTTTAATGGCCCTTGACCTCATGTTATGCATACAAAATAATCATCGCCAAGTGTACTTAGATACACATTACACATCAAAGAAGCCACATTAGCTTGTAAAATACCATACATCTATGGTATACCAAAAATATAGCAGCAAAAGTAAAGCATGCTAAACATTTGCATGGCAATATATAAAAATGTTCTAAATTGCTCATAAGCCTCTAAGGATAATGAGTATCCGAGAACATAGTCTCCTTACCTGTAAAATAACCTAAACAATTAGGGTGAGTAATCAAGTTACTTGTAGGAATCATATGCGTATACCCTAAAGTTTCAATATCATTGCAAGATTAATATAGACGAATACAAGGGATCATTCCACTTAACGTCTATGTTCAAGGTATTCTAAAGGATCATCTTAAGCTAACACAATAATTCTATAACAACACAATAGCAATATCATTGCACTTAACAACATTAATTCGCCATTAACTAAAATTACAAGTCACAGTTAAGCATTGGTTGTTAACTTGGCATTGAATGCGAAATCAAATAGTGGAAAACTTGACATCAAATCTCAGAGTAAACCAAGACCTAAACGGTTATTCCAGGCACTAACCCACTGGGAATACCACCCTACTGCGCATTAAAAATGGGGATAACTCATACCTCTGGCTTTAGAGCCAAACTCTAGCCATTCCATTTGTAATAATGTCCCAAGAGAATTCAAAAATCATAATTAAGTTCAAAACTTATACACAATAATTAAGGCATGTAAACCACCTTCCATGCATAAGTATTTTGAAACCACACAAACCATGTCTTAGGGTTCCAAGTCTAAAATGGCATATCAAATAACAAGTTCTCATCATGATATAAAATACAATACAATACCACCAGCTTATCAATTTAAATAATGCCTCCACAATAAGCTTTATATACTAAATCTTAACATTATAGTAATAAGCTTCTAAAATAACCACAATTAGTAATCAACAAGAGTATAGAATTATCATCACAATAAATATAGCAATTCAAGTCAATAAGAATTGCATATAACATTAATAATTCTACAAGAGTTCTATATCACTACCACACGTGAAAATACTAGAATTTAGCATACTACTAAATCATATATTCTTTCTACACAAGATATATACATATCATACATGCTTCAATCAATAAATCCTAAGTCAAAATGTGAGAAACCCTTGATTGAATTTAGGGTTCTTTGGGCGGGAGCTTGCTCTTTGGCGTTTTGTTTTGTTTATGGTTGGTGTTTTGGTTTGTTTAGGGTTGGTGTTTTGGTTTGTTTTGTTTAGGGTTAGTTTTTATTTCTTATTTGTTTTTTCTTTTTATGTAATACATTAACATATGAGTTAACGGAAGGAAGGATGTTAACGGAAAAATTCATTTTGTATCATTATTGTGGAGCCCATACACATATTATAAATAGAATTAGATGTGGCCAAACTAATGCCTTTCATCAGCGCACCGCAAGGTTAATAACATCAGAGCATTCGCACCCTCACCCTCATAATACCTCATTAAGTGCTTGATGAATGTAATATTTTTTCCCCCTAAATGTGGAGGTTTTTAAAATAAAAAGAAGTAATGCACAAGAAAGAGACCCCAAAGGGTTGGCTCAAGTGGATAAGAAGTAATGCACAAGAAAGAGACTCCAAAGGGTTGGCTCAAGTGGATAAGAACTTGGCGTAAACAATTCCTTGGGAGAAATCTACAAGAGAGAGAAAGTGAGGGCATACCTCACATTACATCACATCGAAGTGAGAAAAATCACTTCCAAAAACAAACAAAAAGAAAAGAAAGCAAGTTAGACATCCACATGAAACTCAAGAAGCAATACAAGACACAGAAAAGCTGTTTGCTTATTTTAAGAACCAAGTATTTCTCTTTTAAAATCTCATTGGTGTATTAATGATAAAAAGTAAATTAAAGATCTCATTGGTGCAACCTCCACTGCGATAATTTTAGTGCTACATATACTTGGCATTTAACCCAGTCCTCAGTAGTCCATGCTCGAACAGTTTCTCATCATGAGGTATTCTGTTTATTTTGAAAATTGAATTGAAAGAAATGAAGATGGTAGCTTCCTCCAGATTTCTTTCAGTTTCTATGTTTGTGAAATCTTTAGAATAGTCAACATGGTTGTTTATTAACTTTAGATAATGAATAAACACATATTAACACCATCCTCCCTCCCTGTCCAACACACAAGCATGATCATTGTTTCACAATTTGAAGCTTTACATTAGCATACTGCTAGATACACACACCAGAGAATGGTTCAATCGATATGGAAGCAATCATTTTACGAGAAAAGTGGCACCTCAAGCTTTATGTAAGCAGACAATTTAAGAAAGCAGTGATGTACTCCATTGATGATGAACATAATTTCATTTAGATTGAGTTTCAAATCGAAAGTGATTCACAGTTTTGTTCTTGTCCTCAAAAAGTAGAGATCTTCTCAAATCAACAGAAACTCCAGTCTCAAGTTTATGAATAGAAAAAACAACCCCCGAAATCAAGTAAAATGACTTGTGGTTCCCAGTCTCAAGGTTTTCCTACAACAAATTCTTTTTCTTACCCCAGCCCATTGCTATCAAATATAAACACACACAACCTCCTACTGTACCAAAGGTGGTTTCCCAAAACTTTATAGGTTTAGCATCAAAGAGTTCGATAGTGATGTTCATTCCAAAGAGCCCCACAACCACAATACCTGCATTGAGTATCATATTTGCCGTACTGAGCATCACCCCCATTTGTAGCAGCTGATTTTGCTTGTCATCCAGCATGATGTTAATAAAGTCCTCCGTGTCATCCACATACTCGGTCATCTAAAGGAAATAACAAGCCAAATACTGTCACAGAATCACAGGAAGTGCAAGAAAAAAAAAGAAAAAAGAAGAAATTATTTTACTGAATCTGATGAAGGGAATTACAGAAGCACAATGTAAATTAATGATTTAAGTGGAAAAATAATGTAAGAGAATTTTAATTTTGATCTTTCATATGTGGCATCAATGAATAAAATGACTGATTTTACTCCTCCTTGATGCACCACTTAGTCTTGGTTTTTGCTTTTTATTTTTATTTTTTATAATTAATAATTACTTGCACTCATATCCATTGCCCTTTTTTTATAAATATAATTAGAACATATCCATAGCACAAAAGGGTTTTCCTTTTTATGTATTTCTCACAACATTAAACATTATTGATATTGCAAGGCTTCCAACCAAAACACATTCTTACTGTCATGCTGGTTTCCATGTAAGTTAGATGACAGGGCTAACAAGTCAAACTTAAAATGAAACATGGGTTTTTTTTTTCCCCCTAAATAAATGAAACATGGGTTTCCAACAACAAACTTAATAAATGGGATGCATTCAAGTAACCTGAGTTCAGCCCAACATAAACAAGTTAGTTCAGGGCATTCAGGCTAAGTATGAACTTCATAGTAGACCTGAAACCAATGTGAGTGCAATTTCTATGATACATTTTATTAGCTACTAATCTTTTAAATTCTTCAATATTTGATTAAATGAAGTTGGCAGGCTGGCTTCAGGTTTTCCCTAATAGACTGTTTCGGTTCAAGTTTCGTCCTTCCAAATTATATGTAATGAGTTAAGTAGAAGAATTGTTTTCAGAACCTGACCAATTGGAAGTTGTCTAAATTTTGCCAATGAAGTCTGTCTTTGCTGTGTTGCCAACATTACAACTAATGCGAGAAAGGGAAACAAGAGAAACATACATTATAAAGTTTTTGTGAAATTCCATCTATCTGTGCAAAATATGCTTCTAAAAGCATCTCCAGCTCCTCGATATTCGGTTTAAAACCCGTGGAAATTGTAGAACCGTCTTCAGACTTCGATTCTTCATCCCTGGATGTAAATTATCAGAAAGAATTAAAAGGTAATTAGTGATCAGTTAACATTTCTGTAAGGAAATGTGATTGCAAATCAAAAAGCATACGATTGGAAAATAAGAAGAGTGATATTGAAAGGCTGCATGGGGGGCTATCCCAGTGTAATATTCAGTCTGCAAGGATGGTTGTGTGGGAAGTGTTGGACTCCTTGGGGCTGTAGATTTCTGATCTTAACCAACTTCATGACAAGTATTGGTATATATAGGCTGCACTGTTATAATTTGCTTAGGAGAAGTTGTCTCATCCTTTGCTTGTTTGTGTTTTGGTCTTGTGCTTTATTCATTTATTCTTTATTCTTTCTGGTTAATGGAAGTGCTTCTTCTCTAGCTTTCTTGTAATGTGAGGGTATGACCTCACTTCAAGCCTTATACAGTGTTCTTTTAGTTCAAATAAAACCACACTTGGGAAAAAGAAAAGAAGAGAAAATTCCAAGATTGATAGAGTGAGAAGCTTCCATGAAAAAAGGTACTGCAACAGTAATGAATGACTAAGACGCTGACAAATGAGATGAACATACTTGACATTGCTAAGGCACCGAAAGAATAACTCAGTAAAACGACTGATAGCACCAAATGACAAATGGATCGTTAGAATATCATAAACCTGATTGATAATAGTCTCAACCACCCCAAACTAGTCATACCTGATGAGGGATCATTCCTGTTGCCTCAATACATGCCATTGGCTACAGGCTAAAATATGGTCAGCAGTAATGAAGGGGCCATAGATTTATTACTAAAATAATTGCATTGCCTTAGTTCACTGATCTTTCCAAATGATAGTGAAAGGTAGTGGCTCCATGAAACTTGGTCTTTGGATGGACTGCCAACATGGAGATTTGTTAGGAAAGATCATACGGAACCAAAATTCATTTCGCACTTGAATACTACAGGCAGTTGTGACATTGAGTGATTAATGCTACAGCAGTCTACAGGGAGAACCCTAGCAGCTTCATATGCTTTTCTTTTTTCCACAACATTTTTGTAGTACATCAGCACCAGCCCTGTGAAACCATAAATATTGTTTTCCCTTATATGGCTTCATTTCAAATTGGAAGGAAAACTCTCCTCATCAATGGGACTTTTCTCATTCATCTGTAACCAAAGGGAACTGAAGCGCTTCTTAAAGTTTCTTAGAATGAAGTGGAAGGAAAAAGCTGGTTTTTACACTTTTGACCAATAGTAGCTACTGGACATATAGCTTCATGGTCCTTTGGGCAAGATTACTAGTCCAAAGAAGAATTATAGCAGTTATATAATTGGGAGAACTCTGTATTGCCCATTCATTCTATAGAAATATCTGAGACTTAAAATTAAACTGAAGGTTAAGTGCAATTAATCATTCCCCGGCTATGTTCGTTGGATATAATGAAGGATTTTGAACCTAAATGCTAGTATTTTGTTGTTTGCGTAATTGGCTATTTTGCACAGTCCTTCTCTTTTATTAGAATACTTATCAGCTCATAAAGATTTCGTGAAAAGACAATAAATTCTAGGAAGAAGTTTAAATGAGGATGAAGATAAAATTTAGGCTCATTCAATCCTAGTCTTCGAAGCCTCCTAGAACTTTCTAAATAGCTTCTTTACAAAGTTTGGTTTACTTCTGTCTGCTGCTATGTTCTGCTACCCGGTTATTGTGTTGCTCTTTTAGTACTGAGCATAAGTATTAATTCACTAAGCATTTCGTTTGTAAAAATAAAAAATATATAAATGGAAGCTTTTGTGTCTTCACTAAGTGCTAGGAGGAACAGAAGCATGAACTTCAACATCACATTAGTTCTACTGTCCCATGTACAAACGGAATGTTCAAGCTTAAGTACTATGTTTGGTTGGAGGGATGGATTGAGAAAGGTTGGAAGAAAGGAGACATGGATGAGCCTTCTCATGTTTGGTTTGGAGGAAAGGAAGAGAGGGAGGAAGCAAGGAGGGATGAAATAAAAAAAAAAAAAACTTGGTTTTTATAATTTATATAATGAGGGTAATATTGGTAAAAAGATATGAAAACTCTCCTCCCCTTCCTTCCAACTAAACAAGAAAAAAGTGTCACCTCATCCATCATTTCCACCATCCCTTCCCTTCAACCAAATAAAAAAGTGAGGGAGACACCTTCCCTTCCCTACGGAGGCCTCATTCATCCCTCCACCTCTCCCTTCTGTCTATTTTTCAATCGCTCCAACCAAATGCAGCAAAAGAGTAGGGTTCTTTATAAATCATGTTATAGATTCTGTCCATTTAAAATTTCCTTGCCTACTCCTTTGTAGTCATTGTTCCATTTTGTATATAGTTGTAGGGATCAGGCTGAAACCCATCCATGAGATTAGGTTATTTTCCTCCAAAAGGATGACCGAAAAAGAAGGAAAAGAGAGAAACTATGCCAGAGTCATAGTCAAAGGAAAATTAAGTATATTCAGAATTGTACTCAGTGAAGGATACCCTTAGCAACAAGGACTTAATTGATAAACCTATCAATTTTTTTTTCTTTAAATAGACCAAAAATCTGTGCACTCCGTCACATGCATTAAATGCAATAAAAATAAAATTAAATTTAGTTCATCAATAATCACCTTTCATCATCATCTTCAAGTGCTTCGCCGTCTGTTTCCTCTCTTAATGGTGTTTCATCTGTTAAATGATCATCAAGTTTTTCTGTCAAATACATCTCAGCCATATCATTGTCATCATCTAACAGATGCTCAAGTTCATCTCTCACCTAAAATAAATAAATGAACAAATAAGAAGTCTATAATCAGCATGCTCATGGGCAGGGATAAGATGTTAAAACAATGGAATTTTTTTAATGTAAATCCATAAATTATAATAAAATGCCAAATATACTAACAATGAAAATATAGAAAAGAAAAAATTTACAATTTCAATCAATTGTAAATTGAGGAAAATATTTCAACATGGTATCAAAGCCAAAGATCTCAAGTTCAAACCTCACGGTCACCCTAATAAATAAATAAATAATTTGAAAAAAAAAAAAAAAAAAAAAAAACATGTTGGACCAAAAGAAGGCCACATGTGAGGGGGCGTGTTGAAGGATTTATATATTTAAGTTATACTCTGTCTAACAGCTTAAACTTTTGGAGTAGATGGCTGTTAACACTTTAGATAGAAAAATAGAGGACAATACATAAACTTTTACCAGTAGTGAACGTGAAAAGAAAGATAAAGATCAAAATAAATTCCAACTTGCATCTAATGATTGTTTGAAAATACATTGAGGCTTGCTAAGAAGGCAAATAAAAGAGAAAATTAAGAAACTTGAGAATCCTCTTGGGGAAGCTGAAAAAGAAAAAGCTAAGAATATAACAATAGTAAAAGAAAGACTTAATTGGAAAAATTGATTCTAATAAAATGAAATAAGTAAGGGATTAAATCTGAAAACAGTGAATTAAAAAGAAAATGAAGATTTAGAGAGTGAAGGATAAAAGAATAAAAAAGTAACAGCAAAATTAATCAAGGTATTTAAAAATTAGACATCCTACTTACTATTGGTTATTCTTCAAATGATAAAAGACTGGATTAGGATTTAATCAAGCTTCTGTTTCAAAGCTAGTTCTGAAAAGTCCTTGACTCTAGCCATGACTACTCCATAAAAACAAATTCCTCAACAAAATGTAGCTAGGTTTACTAAGAATTATCTTAAATTTTTAGTAAAATATAATTTCATATAAAGTTTTATCAGTACCCTACTCTGTACTGTTCTTAAAGTGATAAGGTTGATCACACTAGGTTTCATCGCTTTCAACACACAAGAAATGGAGAAGAAAAATTATAATGAATTAATTCTATGAATCTGTGTATACTAAGAAGCAACCATTAAACATAGAAAGGGGAAGCAAAATAAAATTTTTAACAAGAAAAATAGAAGGCGTTAATAAGAATATTAAGTCATATAACAAACCACAAAATACTATAAAGGAGACTCTTAATATAATTCAATGAACCTGTGCATGTCAGTAAAGATGATTTAACTAAATATGATAAGAAGCAACCATTAGTCAAAATCCTAAGCAATCTATCGGAAAATGTATTCTAATAGGAGAAAAATTAGTCTAGAGAAATTAAATTTAATAATCTTAAATCCTAAAACTAATTAGTAGAGGTGGTGTATTCATAGTAGCAAATGTGTGTGTGTGTGTATATATATTAAGAAGATTCATCATTCCTTGTGCCATAAAATGAGAATCAAGATAAAATTAAGATCTAACAAAATGTGTGGTGGACATATAATTGCTTGGTTAAGTGTTAAAAAATCTATGTCGAAGTTTGTTTATTTATTTCCAGTTAGTGGTGAGTTCAATTAGTCTATCACTCTCTCTCTCTCTCTCTCACACACACACACACACACATATGTATATAAGTTTGAATATATTTGAAGTCCAACTCTTTGAATTAGATAATCATGGGTGTAGGAATATCATTGTGGTGGCCCAAATACTAGTCCTACTATTGCTCAAAAGAGATGAAAAAAAAAAAAGAAGCAGGAACCTTCCTATATGTTGTGGTTAATACTAGGAAATCAAATAGAGTTCCGCAAATGTTCAAACATGCAACAAGAGTTTCCTAAGATGTTGTGCTCGAGCTGAATCTGTTACCAAAAAAAAAAAGGATTATTGCCTAAGAACCCGTGAGTAGCCTTACTTCACCGAGAAAATTACCCAAAGTATCATTTAGTGTGAAGTACTAGAATTGAGGTTGTTTAGGATGACGCCAAAATCAGCAATTTGGCATCGCTAAAAACAAGCAAAACTATTAATGTTAAAGTCCCTATTCGTCTATTGGAACTGGACATCTATAATTCTAAATGAACCATATATGATTCCAAGGCATTGTGTTTCGACAAATGAGCAGTGTGTTCATCAGATCCTAGTGAAATTATAATCAATAGGCACTAACATGAGTACGGACCATTATATTAATTTATTATGTTTACTTTTTTTTTTTTTTAATAAGTAAAAAAGTATTAACAAACACGTTCAGAGGGGAGCGAACCCTTAACAAAGCAAACAGAAATCACAGGATACATATTACAACGATAAGTTGTTAACAAATTCCAACAAACCATCTACAGATGAGCAATTTTTCCCATTAACCCAAGAATAAAGAGAATGCAAAAAATTTGCCTTGATAACCCACACCGGCCACTCCTGCCCTTCGAAAGATCTTCTATTCCGCTCGTGCCACAACTCCCACCAAATACAAAGAGGTGCAACCCTCCACGCCTTCCTAACCCGACTTTCCACTCGTCTCCCTCTCCAAGCTTCTACCATATCCATCGTATTACTTGACACTACCCATTCCACCCCAAAGACATTCAGGACCAAACTCCAAACGTCCGCTGCCACTCTACAATGCAACAAGAGATGATTTACCAACTCGCCCGCCTTCTTACATATACAACACCAATTAATTGTTATTTGGCGTCTGTACCTGAGATTATCCAGAGTAAGAATGCTGCCAAGCACCATTGTCCACGTGAAAAAAGCCACCTTAAGTGGAGCTGAAGTCCTCCATACAGCTTTCTAAGGAAACCCGTTGCTTATCGAATTCGTAAGACTTTTATAAAATAGCCTCACCTTAAACACCCCTCTAGAATCCCCCATCCACACCATCTCATCCCTTCCTTCTCCCTCCATGACTTGACTATAAATTAAACCCATTAATTAGGTAAACTCCAACAACTCCTGATCATTAAAATTTTTGCGAAATCTCACATCCCAACTAGCTCTCCCATTCTTTAACCTAAAACAATCTGCCACCACCTCATGCTTCTCCTCAACCATCCTATAAAGTCTAGGAAACCTACAAGCCAACACCACATGTAACAACCCGGATTTCTCAACCCGGTGCGTTAGTGATAAACCGGAAGTTGACCCAATAACGGACCCGAAATGCGGAAGCGAAAGAAGCCAAATGACCTCAAGAGATGTACGTCATCCCTAAGGCCCCAAAATGACTCTCCATGAAGCCACGGAACTCAAATGAGCCAAGTAAATGAAGCAAGAATGCCTAACCCGAAAAGAGATGAACTAAGGGCAAAATGGTCATTTCTCAATGAAAAGGGTGCCACCGTGTACACCATTGGAAGGACAATGAAAAATGAACAAAATTAGACTCAAGAATCGTCTGATTCTGAGTCCAGGCAGAATGAAATTCCAACACCCGATGCGAAAGTTATGAAGCAATGACTTAACATTTTCCAATATTTTCATAATAAACTTTGAAAACAAAAATGCATAGAAAACGAGATACATGTCATTGGCCTCCGGCCTCATCTCATACATGTTAAATACATTGAAAAGAGTGCACTTACGTACACTTTACATATACGAATCAACGAATACAAGTTTAAACAAATAAGGCTACAAAGAGACATCTTATGCTAACACTTGCATAAAATAGAAACTTAGAAACTGTAAGCCATCCAAGGAGCAATGGAATCTTCAAATCCTGAGTCCTGTACCTGAAATATGCCCCATTATCGTAGGGGTGAGTAACATAAAGCTACTCGTAGGAGATGAGCATGCATCGACCTAGCATTTTACAATTTTATCAACTTATGGTGAAACATGTTAAAGGGGCTCATGCCACCTAACGTCTATGTCAAGATGAGACCCAGGGAGCATCCTAAGCTACCTAGATCATTTCTATCGTAATCACATTGTTTATGCAATTCAAACAACATGGAAACATGTTATACAAGGTAACCAGATATAGATTCTCAAAGTCTTCAACTTGAAATCCAAAATACGAAAACAACAAGTGTGGGTCATGCCACCTAACGTCTATGTTCAAAATGAAACTATAAGGTCATTCCTAAACTACATTTGAACATCAAAACACAAATTATGATATCGATGCAATTTAACCAACAATGGAACTTCCAATACAACGCACGAAGCATGCTTTCACAAAGCTACATCTTAAGCTCAAAATAGGAAATCAAATAAGGAACAACAAGTTACGATATCATCTAGTTATCAACTTGAAATGAAATACGAAATCAAACAAAGTGGATACTCGGACGTCACACCGGATCAGACTGACAACATAGTTACTTTAGGGTTACTAGCCCATGGGTAACCTCCCTATGTGCGCACTAGTCTATATAGAGGGACAATCCCCCGTACTAGAACCAAGTCTTAGCCGTAGCCAAACAACGACATCCCCAAGTTTCCAAAATCAACAAATTGTGCAACAACGTATATATATCAACATGTATATACAAGATATCAACTATTTACCAAGCACAATCCAAAATTTGAAAACTTATACAATACATGCTCAAAATTCACAACTACTATGGCATGTAAGATGTCAAATACAAAGTGTGCAATTCCTTACACATAGTAACAATATATTCAATAAGGAAAAACATATTCTCATGAATATAAAAGTAACAACTATGTTATCCAATGCTCAAAAGTAATCAAGTGAACATACATCAAATCCAAATCCATGATTTAAATATAGAAACAATTTCCAAAATGCAATTAAATCCATGGAGTAATAAAGTATAATTTAATTAAACATAAATAGTTAAATTCTCTAAATTCCAAGTTAATCCAAATAACCTCAATTTAATATATATTGAAAGACATGTCTTGGTCATCATATATGTAACATCAAATGACAAGTTAAGTGATTAAAATACTTAAAACAAAATTAATCAAGCTAATTAATTAATTTCCTCTAGATTTTTAAACAATTCCAAATGCCCTCAATTTAATCTATGTTAGAGAACATGCCAAGGCCTATTTAAATACCACATTACAACTTGATTTAATGCTTAATACAACCATGTGAATTAAACTTTCACTAAAGATAAATATTAAATAAAAGTTGTAATTCTTAATCAAATGATCCAAATTTAATATGTGTTAACCAACATATCTAAGCATAATTTCCTAATATGTTACAATTCAAATCAAAGTTATATATCATCATAAATTTTAAATCTTATACAAAGAAATAAAAATTACTAACTTTCTAGATTTGATACAAGACATACATATATGTTGTATAATCATGGCAAACACACAATACAACACACAAATAATCCTAAAACATTCCCTACCTCAATTGGAATGAAAATCCCAATTACCACCGAAATGAAATCGCACCAAATTTTTGGTCCGCAAAACAGATTTTTCAGCTTGCTACCTTCAACTTGTAAAATTCATAAAAAATTCAATTCTAACCCAAATTGAATTAATCCAAAGCCCAATGAAAGCTTAAACATTTTAATTTGATAATATCAATTTAGTTTAACAAAATATTTTCCCAATTGAAACAGTTTTGACCCACAACTTTGAAACAAATTCTGCCCAGAAAACACATTTTCAGCCTGTAGCATCCAACTTTGAAAATTCATGAAAAATTCATTTGACATCCAAATTGGGCAAACCAAATTTATTTTGGAAGTAAACATATGAGAGTGTAAAACTGGAAATTTATGCCATGATCCAATGTCAAAAGGTTAGTGAAATAAATCATCTAAAAATATGTTTTCCAGCTGCAATAAAAACATGGAAAGCAGATAGTTTCGAATTTTTAAAAAAATTTAGAAATGCTCTAAAATTGTAAAAAAATTCTGAGTAGTGTAAAACACATGGGGGAAGTTCCAGTAAAAATTTCAAGGCAATTGAAGCAACACAACTCCATATAAAAAATTCATTTCCGGACTGAAAAGGAAAAGCTTCAAATTTCCAGCAACTAGCTTGCAACTTCAAAAATTCATAACTAATTCATTTTAAATCCAAATTACGTGAAACCAAAACTAAATGAAAGCTAATTGAGTATATTTTCATATTCTATATTTAATTTGACAAGATTCATTTTAAATTAAAACAGTTTAAGGGCAAAATACAGTCCTTCTCTTCCATGCATGTAAAACACTCAATAATGACATAAAAATATTTCAAAATAATAGATCAATACCTCGCTAGAGAATTGAATCTCTAGATACCAAAGCAAAACTAGGAGTTAGGCTAGATCCTTCAAGGGTTTTGAAGAGGAGGATGAGGGGAACAAAAAATATTCCAAACTTTATGGTCTAAAGTAAGTGAAAGGGCCTCAAAGATCAAGGTCAATGCCTAAGGCTTCAAGCTCCATCCATGGAGGCTAGGGTTTTCTTGTAAGGAAGAGAATGAAATAATGTGGTTAAGTGTGAGTGGAGGAAATAGAAATCCTCCACTCACTATGTGCTCTTACACCATGGTCAACACACACATCTATGGTCAATTGCACAAAAACCCTCCTTTAAAACTATAATCCCAAAGTGGCCCAAAGATATTTGCAAGACTAAATTGTGAACCTACACTTGTCACCAATCCATGGCTCCTTCTTAGGCTTAATCCCACACCTACACTTGTCAACCATCCAAGCCAACAAGTGCACCAATCCCAGGCCAACAAGTGGGTGAATCTCACCCTCCAAATGTCATCATCTAATGCATTAAAGTGTTTCCACACAAATGTCAACAAGTGGACCAATGAGAGTGTGACACTTGTCACACTTTTCAAAAATTGTAAAAATGTCCTTTTTGAAAATATCTTCCAAATTTAATTGAAAAATGGTCCCCAAGATGAAAAATAATTACTTTATTTAATTACACTAAAACCCCACAAGTTAAGAATAATTACACTAAAGTATGCATTAATGCCCCTTTATGAAAGAAGTAAGCAATCAATATGTTTTTTTAGAAAAGTAAAAATACCACTATCATGGAAATCAAATATCATGAATGCATGCAAAACCAAAATCAAATCCGAGCACAAAAAGTGAGGTTGTGCAAGGAAAAAGGATAAACTAGAAAAAGACAAAATGTGAATAGTGTTCGGAAAAATAAAATATGGAAATGACACAATCCCCAAAGGAAGTTGTCAATCCGAGGAAAAGAGTCTCGGAAATCATTCCAGAGCACTCGAGACGATATCAAGTGATGAAAAACCGAACCCAAAAAGGAAAAGACAACGGAAAAAAAATATCCGTTAAAATCTGAGAAAAAGAAAAGGAAAAAAAATGACCGGGTCATTACACCACATCCCTACACCAAACATCCGTCCAAAACCTCACATGCCGACCATCCCTCACTCGAAACCGTATCCGCTTAAAGAATTCATCCCACCCCTTCCTAATACCTTTCCATGCACCCAAACCTACTGATGCATTCACACCTCCAGAGACCCAACCTCCCTCCTCTTCCCTAAACCGACAAGTAATAACACGCCTCCAAAACACGGACCTTTTGCACCCAAATCTCCAAATCCATTTCCCTTGCAAAGCTTTGTTAAACATTTCCAACCTCGAATTTGTAAGCCTCTTCTTTGAATCGGGGTGTACACTTTCTTCCATTTCACAAGGTGGTACTTAAACTCCTCCCCTACACCCCCCTACAAAAAATTCCCCTGAATCTTATTAAGTCTACAAATCACTGTTTTGGGGATTGGAAACAAAGACATGAAATATGTCGGAAGGTTAGATAGGGTACTCTTCAGCAATGTAAGTTTACCCTCTTTCGTTACCTTCTTTCGACAAGTATTGCTTCTTCCACCCAAATAACCTCTTTTGAAAACGTTCCACCACTGGATCCAGAACAGCAACTCTCCTCGAGGAAGCACCCAATGGCAACCCCAAATAAGAAAAAGGGAAAAGCCTCCACTCCGTAACCTAAAATAGCTGCCAACTCAAGAATATGATCCACATCCCCTACTAGAACAATCACACTCTTCCCTATATTAATCTTCAACCCCGAAACCACTTGAAAACTGGCCAACACACACCTCAAGTGTCTCACTTGATCCACACTCGTATCACAAAACACAATAGTGTTGTCAGCAAACAACAAATGAGATGTCACAATCTGATTTGGCACTCGGCCCATCGCAGAACCTTGAATAAAACTGAGAACCTCTGCCCTTTTCATGAGTTTACTAAAGGCTTCCATTACAATAATGAATAGAAAAAAGGGACAATGGGTCCCCTGACGTAAACCTCTCGAACTTGCAAAAAAGCCTGGTGATCCATTCACTAAGGGCTAATTTGGTGTGTAGGAATGAATTGAAATAAAATGAGAATGAAGGTGGGAATGGAATGAGAAGAGAATGGAATGGGAATGTTGATTCTCATTCTACCGTTTGGTTGCAAACTTGAAATGTGTAAAGTTGGAATGGAATGAATTTATATTATTTAAAACAAAATTAACTAAAAAAATTAACAAAAGCAAAAAGGAGAAGAGATGATAGAGAGAGAAAATAGATGAGATAGAGAGATAAACACAGAGTCTCCATAACTATCAACATTCCCACTGCCATAACCATGACCACGACCACGACCATCACCACTATTCATTTGAATAAATGAATTTTGAAATCCACCAAAAATACCAAAAACAATTGTTAGAGAGGAATCGACTAATAGAGAAAAAGATACTTCTGTTCTGCCAGATCGTCATTGACAGAGGGGACAACTCCAATGACCTGTAAGAGATCTGATTCCGGCCAAATAACGAACCAACAGCGTGCTTCAGTCCGATAACGAAACCCAGTTCAAAACGGTTGTGGACTCGCCGAAGCTCTATACAAGAATCGAGTGTAGCTCTATAACTTCGTTGCCTTTGTCAAAACTGCAAGCTTTACCGCTGGTAAGACGTTGCCCTTGTCGGCCATTCAAAGTTAAGAGCATTGTTGTCCTTCTCTATAATGAATTAATTATATAAAAATATTAATTTTTAATAAAACCCAGTTGTCCGCCAGAGACACTGCCGAAATTTCATGTGGTTCTTCCTGATTCCCATTCCTAAAAAAAAGGTATGAAGAAGGTGAATAACTCGTCGGTTCATTCCGCCGACAGAGTCTTGCTCGTCGGGGCTGGCTTTGATTCTTCATTGTTTGTGAACACACAGGATTGTTGTGGTGGGTTTGTAATTTGTTAAGGACACCTTCATCTTTATTTTATTTTTTATTTTTTTTAGTTTGTATTTTTTTAAAAGTGGGAATGGAATGGTCATTCCTTTTGTTTGAATGTGGAATGATTTTGATGGAATGACCATTCTCCAAGAATGGTGGAGAATGACGATTCCAGGTTTAAAATTGCGCACCAAACATGAGAATGGAAAAAAAAGTCATTTCATTCCACTTTCTTTTATTCCAGTCCACCACACCAAACTAGCCCTAAGATAGAAAACCTAGTAGTCAAAATACATTGATGAATCCACCCTCTCCATTTGGTGCCAAAACCCATTCTCTCCAACACATAAAATAAGAACACCTAATTCACATGATTATATGCTTTTTCTATATCCAATTTACACACAATCCCCGGTTCACTACTCTTAACTCTTGCATCAATGCATTCACTAGCAATAAGAACCAGGTTGAGAATTTGCCTTCCACCAACGAATGCATTTTGAGACTCTGCAATAACCCCATTTATCACTTTCCTTAACCTATTAGCTAGAATCTTCGCAATAATCTTATAAACCGCTCCCACCAAACTAATTGGTCTGAAATCCTTAGCTTCAATTGCTCCACCCTTCTTAGGTATAAGAGTAATGAAAGTGGCATTCAAACTTTTCTCAAAACTCCCTTCCTCGAAAAAAGCATGCATTACTCCCATCACATCCTCTCTCACCACCTCCCAGTTCTTTTGGAAAAATGCAATTGTAAACCCATTTGGCCCCAGAGCTTTATCTCCATCACAACTCCTAAGAGCTTCAAAACTTCCTCCTCCCCAAAGTGCCTCTCCAAATCCCCTTTATCCTCATCAGAAATTGTATCAAACTCAATATCATCCATCCCCGACCTCCAAGAGACAAACTCTGTGAACAACTCCTGATAAAATGCCACAAACCCTGTTCGGATCTCCTCTTCAGTTTCAGCCATGATACCATCAAACTTATCCTCCCAATACTGTTCCCTCTTCTATGCGCATTAGCTAATCGGTGAAAAAATTGAGTATTTCTATCACCTTCTTTAAGCAACAAGGCTCTCGACTTCTGTCTCCACGAAACTTCTTCCATCACTGCAATCTCTTCAAACTCAGCCTTGCACTCCTCCCTTCTACTCCTCTCCAACACGGAAATCCCCTAAGCACCTTCATTCCTATCCTAGCTGATTCTTCCTCCACTTCAACTTACCAAACACCTCCTTATTCCAGATATTAATGTTGCCCTTTAAGTATCTCAACTTATTTGCCAATTTGAAACTTGGGTTACCCCTCACATCATAAGCACCTCACCAATTCATAACCTTTTCTTTGAAGTCATCCACTCGTAGCCACATGTTTTCAAATCTAAAAGGGGTTCTTCCTCTCCTAATCGCTCCACAATCAAGTAAAATAGTTATATGATCAAAAATTGCCCTGACACGCGCCACTTGAGCCACATCCGGGAATTTCTCCTCCATCTCCCCTGAAATAAGAAATCTGTCCAGCCTAGAAAAAGAAGGAGGATCCCGCCCACTCGACCTTGTAAATGCGCCTCCCACCATAGGAAGGTCCAACAACTTGTTATCTTCCACAAACTCAGAAAAATCAGCCATTGCTCTATCCCACGCACCCCTAAAATATCTCTCACTCGTGTTAAGAACAACATTAAAGTCCCCCCTAACACACCACGGAACCCCCATCTGCTTTTAATTGTACCCAATTCCACCCACAACACTACACTCCACATCCCCTACAGGCCCATAGACACCCGAAAAACACCACTTCGAGCCATATTCCTCAAACTCAAACAATAATGATAAAGAATGCCTCTATTTCCACACATCAACCTTCGACATCCATCTCCTATCCCAAAGAACAACAATTCCCCCAGCAGTCCCCTCTGCATCGATAACCTCCCAGTCCCCCCCCCCCAAAACTTTTCATAACCTTAGCCTCCTCCACATCCAATTTGGTCTCCTGCAAACAAACCATATACACCCTCCATTTCCGAGTCAAGGCTTTCACCACCTTCCTCTTTCTCGGGTCATTCAGTTCCCGAATGTTCCAAGACATTATATTAAGCTTCATTGACAACCATTGAGTCTTCCACTCCCCCTCCTTCCCCCATTCCTCCTTCCCTCATAATTCACTTCAGAAAACAAGCCTTTCAGCTCTCTCACCCCTTTCAAAACAGTCAAACTCTTTTCCTTCTACCTCACCCATTCATCCTCTACTGCTTGAAATAACTCCATACTTGCATATCCTCCCCTTTCCAAGTCAACCCCAAAAGCTTACTTTCCTCTTCAATACCTTTCATAAACCAGTTATCATCCACACCATCCACCTCCGAGAGTTTTTGGCTATCTCCGATTACTGCTAAAAGAGTGTGAAATCCCACAATACTCTCTCCACCTTCAGCCCCAGTGTCCCATAACTGATACGAATTCTCCTCAGCATCCTCATTAACATCAAACTCATCCTTTCCACTTTTAGCTCTAAACTCTGGTTGCAAATGTTCAGAACCTACATCATCAATCAACATACAACTGTACCTCATCCAAAGAAAATCATTCCTCTGTTTAATAGCATTCGCCAACAGATTGATCAAACCCCTCTCTTCCACTGAGTGATTCACCCCTCCTTCCTCCCTGACTAAAGATACTGGACCACTCCCTTCTCCATCCACTTTAGGTATCGTCGCAAGTTTTTGGTCCACCGGTATCCTCCCTCTTCCCTCCCACTCACCCACTATCCTCACCACCCCAAAAGAAGGAGTAGAAGAAGAAGAAGCATATGAAGAGAGAGAAGAGTTCACTGAATTCAAGGCAGAGAACATTCCTGAGCCACCACCTCCAGCAACAACCCATTTCAGTTTTTAAACTCTCGACCACTTTTTGCCTATCAACCGGCTATAAACTTGGAATTCATGACTTGGTCGGAAATGGTGACCAGAATCCTCGCCTCTTTTTTCTTGCCTTACTCCCCTACCTTGGCCACTCTTCTCGTAGAATCCTTCACTGTACCCATTCCTTCTGAAAATTTAACTTCAGCCCTGAAGTTACTCCCATATTGGTCCAGGCCTATTATGTTTACTTATGGTGAATTCTTATTAAAATGGAATAAATACGTGAATAGATGTGAGTCCAATTTGGGGGCTACTCCAAAATTGAGTTTTCTAGGTCCATACTACAAGATAGATAAACTTGACTATGTAATTTAGGCTCGTGATGTTTCCTTGCTCTTCCTTCCCAAGCGATGTGGTGGATATTTTCCCCACTTCATGATACCCAGGTGATGCACCATTTGTGTGAGAACATTCCACAATCGTAAGTAAATGAAGTTTAGCATGGCTCCAAGTGAAGAAGAAAAACAACCCTATATGTGATACTTGTTAAGTTCTTCACCAGTATATTTACTTAAAATTTTATATAATTCATCAGTTTCAAACTGTTAATTTGCTTATTCAATTTTATGAGATGACTATACTAATTGACAACTACTAGAAGCTTCACCTTATAACAAACTTTTAACATATAGAAAGTTAATAATCTCAACAGATATAACACTTGTGAACTTTCCCCACTTGGAAAACCAAGCTTGAAACGTAAAAGAAAGAATCAATCATAAAGAATTCTATTTACATAAACTGAAATTCCGAACTAAAGCAGCTTAAGAATGAAATACACATTCAAATGTCACTGATATTGCAACAAAAAGGAAGCCTCTGATTATATGTATCTAATGCTTTAAGTGCAACAATTTCATAATAAATAAAACTTTTTGAAATTGGAACATTTTTTCACATTATTCTTTGTAGGGTGGTAGCCATCACATAGCATAGTATTGTTTACCTTCTGTACACGACCAGATATTGCGACTAGACGACTCTTTATCTGTCTGACACGCTCAAGATTAAGTGTGCTAACTTTAGAAGTCAGTTCATCCAAAGCTGGATATGCTTCCTGCTCCAGTGTTTCGGTCTGATATAGATACAAGTAAATCAAGTTTTGCAATAAATTTCAGGAACATGTAGGAGCAATAGAGGAAGCAAATGGAAAATTAAACAATTGCAAATCAGGAAAAGGAAAAAGAAGGTTTAGCTTTGAGTTTATATATACACATATATATAAAACTCTTTCATATTATTACGGAAATGAGAAGTCAAATAAGATATTACAGGAAGTAGTTAGGTGACAAAAATTAAAGACTCATTCTACGAGATATCCCAAAATGATGTTCAGATAAATCTAAATTTTGACTTCCTAATATGCATATTCATATGAACACAAAGTTATCTTGTCTATTCACCTTGTCTAAGAAGAGTCAAACCCTAGGATTTGCAAGACCATTCACAACGCCTTTACAGATACATCATCCCTAGGAATTAAGCTCGGAGTCAAACAACAGTATGCATCCTAACAAATTCAAATGGCAACTATAATAACTCTGGCCAGAAATAATCTGAAGGCATTGCCTATTCTAGTATCACTCTTAGCTGCAATTAGCTTCTGGGCTGACTTAAACTAGTATACATCTCAAATATCTTAGTGATGGAACTCCAAAGCACTTCACTTCTTCTATTCCACCAATGCTTGTGCAATAAGATACCAAGTAGTTCGCTTAAATCCAAATTTTCTACCAAGAAGAGAGAGAACATAAACTACTAATCCTCAACCTTTCTTTATCATAGATCAGTGTACTAATTTACAAATCGATAACTATAAATTAATTCAAATAAACTAAACAAAGCCTTATTTAAACTATTTGGGATTGAGTATGAAATCTAGTTTCGCCATTACAACTAAAAATTACCTAAAATACCAAAATCTAATTTCATATCTAAAAGATCTCGAAGGTTCAGCTTATCTAGATGGAATAAGGGGGAAAAAACAGAAAATGACGATGACAAGGTTCCATTTTTGCGTGTAACTCTCTTAATCTTTTGGAGAACAAAAGAAGAGTGAATGCCAAATTAAAGCAAAGAAAGCCCCACTCGTATCAGAGCAAAAGAACCAGAAATGCCTCCAAAATTTAAAAGATCTTTGAATCATATACAATGATTTGATTCAAGTGATTTCACTTGGCATAGTTATTATGTAATAATTCTAGTACCTTCCAAATTATAGATTTATTTCAGCAAAAATAATAATAATAATAAAAAATCTGATCAATCTTAAATAAATAGCAGAAAACCATATCTTTATCATTAACAAATTTTGCCTGTTCTCATGCTAAGATGCCTCCAACAATAATAATGTGAATATTTGCAGACTAGTAATATGATGTTTTGCATAATTATTTGATCAATAAGTTTGACTCTTTCTCTCTGATGAATTGATATGAAATCCTTCCATCCACATATAAGCCAAGTGGCCATGGCCCATAAATGTCACGACATTGATTTTTGCAGCCAAACTTATCAACTTATTCCAAAGCATAGAATTAATTGCTATTGCATATCAACTTAAAGTTGCCAACTCATACTGACTTCCAAGATATCAAACAACCCTATTTTACATGGAAACATCAATGTGTGGAGTAACCTGTCATGTCCGATAAAGCTTGAGTTTGCATAATGGATGTATCCCATTCCATATATAATCTATACTTTTCCAACAAAGGAACAAAAGAAAAAATACCTAGTTCATAAGTGTATCATAAGATACCTTCTAAATCCATTTCTTTAGTGCACGGACATTGCACAGTGCATAGGCAAATTTGTTAACCATCTGTGAAATATATATTTGTATTTTGGCTAATTTCGTTGTCAAAACGAATCCGATCAAGTTGTAAATTTGTGGTTTAATTTGTCAAGACTCAAGATTGGAAGTGGAATTGAAGAAATTCAAGTGTTCATACTTCGATACACTCTGGGATTATGAGAATTACGCTTTAGGAAGGTAAGAGAGTGTGTGAGGACACTTGGGATATTCAAAATTAGGTTTTTGGAAGATTTTACATTCTACGTAACCTGAACTAGTTCAAGTTATCAAGGAACAAGATTAACTTTTGATGAAATACTCCATGTTTAAGTCTGGCTAACTTGAATTGGTTCAAGTCACTCCTGAACCGGTTCAAGTCCCTCAAACCATTTTAGAAACTTTGTTTCCTGGTCTGGTTTGGCCTTCTACTTTGGACAGACTTTTGCTATATTGAACATGCACGAAATTAACTTGTTTTCCATGTACAATTAGGTTTTTAAAAGTCTATAAAAATATGTTTTCTCACTTAGGGTTACACGGCTTTTTGGAACAAAAATTTTGTGAGAGCCTTTGAGATATATTTTTGTTTAGAAAATCAAATCTGATTTTTCTGATTTTATTTTTGAGAGCGCACACATATACACGAGTGATTTAGGAGTGGTGTTCTTTATCTGGTCAGAATTGGAGCACAATTGAAGATTCAGAGATTCCGAGAAGCAGGGTTTTAATTGTTCTTCATTAAATTCAAAATTGAAGAAAAGGGGCAATTTGATCACACTTTGAAGGGGTCAAAGCATTCGTGGAGTGTTGTTTAATCTACCAGAAATCATTCTACAGAGATCAAGAGTAAAGCCTGAGGTCGAGAGTTGTTGGACGGGAGAGTCACAAAGCCAGGGATTGTTAGCAATTGGTTTTTAGTAGAACGATAGGGTGTGAGCCTAAGTCAAAGTTCAGTGTACTTTGGATCATTTTTGCTTTGGACAGTATAGTCCACGAGGTTTTTCCCTAAACAATTGGTTGATTTCCACCAGTCGAGGTTTCCTTACTAAAAATCCTGGTGTCATCCAGGGCCGGCTCGAGCTTTAGGCGACTTAGGCGGTCGCCTAATGCCCCAGCCAATAGGAAGGCCCCAAAATTTTAAAATTTCCTTATATTAAGTTATACTATAATTATTTCCTAATATTGTTAAACTCTAATAAATATAAAAAATTTATATTAGGCCTCAAAGATTTATATCCTAAAATAGCTTCTTTTTTTTTTTTTTTTTTTTTTATCCCACTCATTTCAATTTTATATTAGGCCTTAAATATTTATATCCTAAAATAACTTCTTTTCTCTCCCTCCTTGTTCATTCCGATTTTATATTGGGCCTCAAATATTTATATCCTAAAATAACTTCTTCTTTTTTTCTCTTTTCTCTCCCCTCCTTTGTTCCATTGAACTCTAATTGATACATAAATTTAATATTGGGCTCCAACGATTTATATCCTTATATGAATTTTTTTTTCCTCCTTTTTTCTACTCTCGTTCACGTTTTACAATAAATCCTAACCAATATAGAAATTAAATATTGGGCCCAAAAATTGTATCATTAAATAAATTTTTTTCCTTCTTTCTTTCTCTCTCATTCACGTTTTTTACACCAGCACTAAAAACATTTTTGGGTAAGTTACACCAACACTAAAATATTAAATATCCATTTAATGTTGTTGTTTGGAAAAATGGCGAAAACTTTCCATATTCTTTTTTATTCTTTTTTTTTTATTTTTTTTATTTTTATGTTTTATCTTCTTCTTTCCAGCAAGCATTCTCCTCCCCATCTCATTACAAGTTTACAGTTGTTATGAACGCATTTTTATTCTATTGAAAAATTTGTATAGAATTGGATTTTCTAAATAAGGTTCAATGGTTCTTTTTCTTTAATTATTTTTTAATTTTATTAACTTTTGTTATTATAAATTTGTGTGTATATATATTTATATATTTTGTTTTTGAGTTGTGACTAATTTTATTTATATTGTTGAAAAAGTCACTTTTTACTTTTCGCCTAAGGCCCCAAATTAGATTGAGCCGCCCCTGGTGTCATCTCTCAAACTTTATTTACTATACTAGCACTTTATTTTTTCTCTGTGGGTTTGATTTTAGCTTTATTTAGGTAAAATTAAAATAAGTAAAAATTGGATAAAAGAGCAAGTAAAACCTATTCACCACCCTTCTAGGCCTTTTTTTTTTTATAAGTAAAAATTTGGACCATTTTCTCGAATTGTGCATGTCATCCTTGCTCAGGGGCCATGCTAATCTACTCTAAAAGTTTAAGCTAATAGAGATGGTGTAACTTAAATATATAAATTCTTTAACATGCCTTCTCACGTGTGGCCTTCTTTTGGTCCTTCTTTCAGTCTAACACGTGTTTTTTAGTTTTTAATTAGAGTGACGGTGAGATTTGAACTCAAGACTGACTCTGATACCATGTTAACAACCATCTACTCTAAAAATATAAGCTATTAGAGAGGGTGTAAGTTAAACATGCCCCCTCACGTATGGCATTCTTTTGGTCCAACACGTGTTTTTCAATTTTTTAATTTGGGTAACGGTGAGATTTGAACTTGAAACCTTTAGCCCTAATACCAACTGTAATGGGTTAGCGCCTTCTGACCCAAACGTCTATGATATTCTCCCAACAAATTTAATGAACAATTTTGCACAGAACATCAATTTTCTATGTTAAAGATTTTTTTTTTTTTTTTTTTTTTTTTTTTTTTTTTTTTTTGATAAGTAAAAATATATTAGAAAAACGTTCAAAAGGGGAACGCATCCCTAATACAAGAGAAAAGATCTAAGGACCAATAGAATCCAAGAGATCAAAGAAATCATCAATCGAGGAGCATGTACTTCCTCTAACATAAAAGAATAAAGAACGAAGAATATGAATTTTTAAATTAGCTAAGGACGATTCTTTTCCTTCAAAGGATCTGTTATTTCTCTCACGCCACAAACACCACCAGACACAATGAGGAACAATCTTCCAATAAGCACGAGCTTGTTTCTTAACAGGACAGCTTTTCCAAGCGTTAATCAACTGAGAGGAGTGCTTAGGCATTACCCAAAAAATGCCGAAAATGCTGAAAATAAAACTCCAACAACCAAACGCCACAGGACAATGCAAAAGAATATGATCCACGGATTCACTATCGTCTTTGCATAAACAACACCAATTAACAATGATGTTGCCTCTCTTTCTCAAATTGTCCAAAGTCAAAATCTTCCCCAATGTAGCTGTCCAAGCGAAGAACGCGATTCGAAGAGGGGCTTTAGAGCACCACACGGACTTCCAAGGAAACTCGGAAACAACGAAATTGGATAAATGAATAAACATAGAGCGGACATCATACCGACCATGAGCCAAAGGAACCCACAAAATATCATCACACCCTCTGCCAATATCCTTCTGCCTATACAAAATATCCAAAAAAGCAGAAACTTCCTCCATTTCCCAATCCTGAAAAGCCGCCTAAACCGCACATCCCACGTAACTCCATTGTTATCAAGATGATAACAATCAATCACGAAAACATGCTTATTAGTTGCAATGCTATAAAGCCTAGGAAATGAGTGTGAAAGCAACTGGTCACCACACCAAAGATCCTCCCAAAAATGAACATGCCTGCCATTACGAACTTTGAATCTAATAAGAGTAGAGAAAACATCCCATCCCTTCCGAATAAATTTCCACAAACCAACGCCTCCCGTAATAGTAACTGGAAGAGATGACCAACCCCCACTCCCCTCACCAAAACGACACGAGACAACTCTTCTCCACTGACGATGTCGTTCCCTTCCAAATCGCCATAACCACTTTCCTAAGAGAGCACGATTAAAAGGAACAATTTTTCGAATGCCTAACCCTCCGAATCTCAATGGTTGGCAAACTTGATCCCAATTAACAAGATAATACTTAAACTCCTCTCCCCTTCCACCCCACAGAAAATCCCTCTGAATTTTTTCAATTCTATCAGCAACAGAACATGGAATTTGAAACAAAGACAAAAAATAGGTAGGAAGGGATGAAAGAGTACTCTTTATAAGTGTGACTTTCCCACCCTTAGATAGATACTGCTTTTTCCATCCTGCTAATCTTTTCTCATATCTATTAATCACTGAGTCCCAATTCCCAACCAGAGTAGAAGAAACTCCCAAAGGCAATCCTAAATAAGGAAGAGGAAAAGAACCAACTCCGCACCCTAAAACAGCAGCTAAGGAGGAAATATCTGGAACATCCCCCACTGGAACAAGCACACTCTTTCCGACATTAATCTTAAGTCCAGAAACTGCTTGGAAGCAAGCAAGAGTGCACCTCAGATATCTGAGTTGAGAAATATCAGCATCACAAAATACCAAAGTATCATCAGCAAATAAAAGATGGGAAATCTGGATCTGATGATCAACATCTCTGCCAACTCTGAACCCCCTAATGTAACCCAAATCTTCCGCTTTTCTCATTAATCTAGTCAGACCTTCCATAACGATGAGAAAAAGAAAAGAAGATAATGGATCACCTTGTCGCAGACCACGTGAGCTAGCAAAAAAACCCGCAGGAGAGCCATTCACAAGAACAGAAAACATAACTGATGAGATACAAGTGTCAATCCATTTTATCCATCTATCACCAAATCCCATCCTCCGAAGAAGATACAAAACAAACTTCCAATTAACATGATCATAAGCTTTCTCGATATCAAGCTTACACAAAACGCCAGGAACCCCGCTTCTTAATCTAGAGTCAACACATTCCCCAGCAATAAGAACAGAATCCAAAATCTGCCTTCCACCAACAAAAGCGTTCTGCGATTCTGAGATAAGACCATCCAACACTTTACTCATCCTGGAAACAAGAACCTTGGCAATAAGCTTATACATACATCCGATTAAGCTAATTGGCCGAAAATCCTTGATATCAGATGCACCGCCCTTTTTAGGGATGAGAGCAATAAAAGATGCATTCAAAGATTTTTCAAATGTGCCATGAGAATAAAAATCCTGAAAAGTACTCATCACCTCCTCTCGCACCACCTCCCAACTCTCCTTAAAAAAGCGCATAGTAAATCCGTCTGGCCCTGGTGCTTTGTCCCCGTTGCAACTAGAAAGTGCCTTAAGCACTTCCTCTTCCGTGAATGGAATCTCAATACTATCCCTATCCATCGCAGAAATAGTATTAAATGGAAGACCATCTAGAGTAGGTCTTCGATCCAAAGTTTCAGTGTAAAGCTGCTGGTAAAAAGAAGCAATTCCTCCGCGCACATCTTCTTCTCTCCACAAATCAAAACCATTAACCCGAATACTTCCGATATGATTACACCTTCTGTGAGCATTGGCCAGTCTATGAAAGAATTTTGTATTCTGATCACCATCTTTTAACCACAAAGCCCGAGACTTTTGACGCCACGAAATCTCCTCCATATGAGCAATCTCAGCAAAAACCGCTTAACAAGAGGCTCTTTGAGAGCGTAAAGACTCCCTACTCTGTCCCACCTCAGCTAAACGATCAAGCTCAGCAATATCAGCAAGGGCTCTATTCTTTTTCCATTCAAGATTCCCAAAAACTTCTTTATTCCATCTCTTAAGCTCAGTTTTAAGAAACTGAAGCTTTCTAGCTAACACAAAACTAGCAGAGCCTGTGAAAGACCCTTTTTGCCACCAAGACTGAACCTTCCCTTGAAAGTCTTCAGATCTAAGCCACATGTTTTCGAATCTAAAAGGAGTGCGTCTAGACCTCAAACCACCACAATCCAAAACAAGAGGTACATGATCAGATGTGACTCTAACCAACACAGCCTGAGAGACATCCGGGAAATGCTCTTCCCAAGCCCCAGAAATCAGGAAACGATCCAATCGAGAAAAAGTAACTGGTTCCCTACCATTAGACCAAGTAAAAGCCGCTCCTTCCAACGGAAGATCGATAAGAAAATTATTGTCAATAAATTCTGAAAACATGGTCATTTCTGAAGACCACCTACCTCCTGTGGATCTCTTAAATGGGGATCTAACAGAGTTAAAATCCCCACCTAAGCACCAAGGCAATGACCATAAGTCCTTAACAAAGCAAAGCTCTTCCCACAGGACTGGTTTATCACTATCAGTAACAGGCCCATACACACCTGAAAACGTCCATTTGAAATTGTCTACTTCCATCTGAAACATGCATGACACCGAGAAAATACCCTTCCAACAATTCAAACTTGACAACCATCTACGATCCCACATGAGGAGAATACCACCTGAAGTGCCTGTTGCATTTAAAACTTCAAAGTCCACAAACCTACATCCCCAAAGACTCCTGACAATCTCAGTAGTAATATCAGCCAATTTAGTTTCTTGTAAGCAGACAACATGAGCACTCTACTTCCTCAAAGCGACCTTGATAACTCTTCTTCTTTTCGGGTCATTAAGACCACGAACATTCCATGTTATAAGTCGTAGCTTCATGAAGAACCAAAAACAATCAATTCACCTCCTCCCCTTTTACCACTCCTGGTTCTCCCCCTTTCTTTGGTCGACCCATTCTTTCCATTGTAGTTAACACAAGAAATCAAATTCTTCACTTCCTGTTCGCCTTTCCGATGTGAATTTCTGACTTTGACTTCTTTTGTGTCACGAATAGGTTCACTGCTACCATTTCCTGCAATAATTTCGTGGAGAATACACAGGGTTTGTTCCTCATAACCTTCTGCAGAGACACCCAAAGCTTCACTAACTGCTCTAACATTCTCGATGACCCATTCCATGCCCAGATCAGTGGTTGTCTCCAAACAATCAGGCCGCACAACAGCCAAAGGTTCCATAAAGTCCACTTCATCGTGAACAGGATCTGTCCCGGAAAAAGATACGTTAAAAGGGTGCTGCTGAAGAGCAACATCAACCTCTCCTTCATGTAAAATCCCCTCTATTTCCGAAGCATTAACTTCTTTGGATGGGATTACTGAAAACTCCTCATGCTCAGATGAAAAATTGCTCAAACCTTTAACTGAAGTAAATAGCCGAAGCTCTTTAAGCAAAGCTACGGCTGAATCATTATTCAATTTGAAGTGCAAATCTTTTCCAACACAAACTGTCACTCCATTGAAAAAATCCGTACTCTCGGTAGTAACCTTTGAGACGTCCAACTCTGATTTAGAAGTCGAAATCCCAATGATACTTCTCTGTTGACCCGAAACATTCTCAACAACATTCCTGTCGCTAGCCACTTTACCCGAAGAAGAAGGAGAAGAAGTAGAAAGAGTGTTGAGAGAAAGATTAGGACTCAAACCTGGAGAAGAAGTGCGAGAACGTGCGACCCATTTCTGCTTTTCATTCCGAGTCCACCGAGATCCATGGCGTCCGACGTTCGTCAATCTCCTCTCGGATTTCATCCAAATATTAGAGGGTTTGGTATGGGCTTGTGATTCATTAGGACCAGGTTTGATGTTTGTAAGTGAGATAGATAATGAGTTAGGCCCTTTTCGTACCTTTCTAATAGGCCCAGACTTGAGAGGCCCAGTTTGGAGTTGCCCAGTTTGACCAAATCTTAGTGGCCCTTTCTGTAGTCTTCTTCTAACAGGCCCAGAACCCAAATATGCTCTGTAAGGTTGAGATTGAATGAGCCCATGATTATCAGGCCCAAATTTCCTAACCTGTCTTGATAACTTATGGCCCAAAGTAAAACCTTTATCAGCCCGAAAATAATCCTTCCCTACCTTATCTTCAAGAGATAAGGATAAAGCTGAATCTGAAGGGGTAGCCCACCGTTCACCACGTGTACACCGGTGTTGCTCATCAACGACGCGTTTGCTCGGCGTGTGAATCTCACCTCGTCGTCTACCTCCAATAAACTTCACCTTTTGCTGAATTTCACGATCCTTCAGCCACTGTTGAATTTCGAGAATCCCTTCTTCACCTTTGCTAAGAAGCTCGTTCCATTTTTCTTCCGACATAAGATGAGATCCGTCACTGCCTTCAAGACTTTCCGTTGAAGGAACAAGCTCCGGCGAAATTTCTTCCCAAATCGCGACCTTGTAGCAGAAAGTGTCGTCGTTGATATACACAAACTTCGGACAATCACGACCAACTCGTACTATTATCCGAACGCTTTCAGCATCCCTGGTCTCATCCGCGTCAGATCTGACATAACCACCACAAAGTTCTCCCACTTCGACGAACAGAGCATGGCACCATAAATGTAATGGAAGTCCAAACAACCGGATTTGCTTGAGACCTTGATCACTGAGAACGCCACGGCAACCAACACGAAAGGACCACACATCGATCCTCAAAGTTGCAGAACCCCATTGTCTTCGCCCTTCTTTCAACACACGTTTGGCCTCTGCCTGAGAAGGAAACCGGAAAAGAAGCATTGAATCGGATAACGATGAAACCCCCACTCCACAAGTCGTATTCCAAGCCCTCGCTGCCCATTCTTTCACGCGATCGCAACTCCCCACTTCCTTGTCAAATTTTCCTACCAAACAAGAGGAGAGAACAGATATCCTTCCTCTGACGGATTCCCCGTCGATATACAACGACGGACCGCGATGAGGAACCGCTGACTTCACATCTCCCCCAAGCGAAATTCTTGGTAACCTTGCGATGTCCAGAAAAGATTTCATTCCAAACAACCAAAACACAGATCGCCTCACAAATCGCCCCTAGTGGGGTGAAATCGCACATAGTGACGTGTACATAAGCATAGTGCCGTCATTTATTCTATGTTAAAGATGAAGAAAAAGTTTGTTACAATGACAGTATAGTTGTGTCTTGTGTCCTAAGGTTTAGGGATTAAACGATTTTGAAACCTATGTAAATCACCAGCTGACAACATGCTTACGCTAGTCCATTTAAAGATACAAATAACCAAGATTTAACTACAATTTCTATCTTCCTTAAATGGTGACTAGTAGATTAATGACCTATTTTAGGAATAGGTGTATTTCTTATCTAGCTTGTTACAATCCCTATCATTTTTCAGATGAAAGGACGTAGATACCATGTCTTCAGATGACCTTGATTCAAACTCTGGATATATTTCTATTTACATTCTGATGTAGACACTATTTATATTCTTTTTCTGAAAATCTATATTTGATACTTTGAGACATTTAAGACGGTGTTGTAATGGTTGAGGTGTTTGTAACGGTCAATAGACCTTCTATTGAGAACTTTTTTAGTGTTCATCATTATAATAGGTTCAGTTGATATTATTATCATGTTTTATACTATTATTGAAGTTAGCAGGAATGCTAGTTCATCCTTTGAATACGTGTGCATTTGTATTTTTTCCATGTGTATACCGTCTACTCTTACCAACCTCACCGTCTAAGGGAATTCTAAACATGCTGTCTTGTACGATTTATAGTGCTTTGTCTGATTTCCTTTTGAATATAGTTAAGGACAGCCTCCTATAAAAACCATTTTACAATTTAAAACTCCAATTTCCTACGATAAATTGAATGATTCAAACTTTCATTTATGTGAGGGTATAAAATGCATGCATCTCCATTTTTCAATTGTACTGTAACATCTGGCCAATTTTGCCCCAGTTGCCCATATGGAACTATTTTAATTATTTAAGTCGCAAATTTGACATTTACATTTTAATTATTTAAGTCGCAAATTTGACATTTACAATTTGAAAATTTAAAAAAAAATCATACTCTCATCCAACAAGTACCTACCAAAAAGTGAGATGATAAGGAACTATTCACAGTGCTGCGCATGAATGATATAATGTCGTGTGTGGGAGCACCAAGTTGGATCCTTGGAATTGAAATTGGAGAAAATTTAGTTCAAAATTTAATGTTATTTTTACTTATCAAAAAAAAAAAAAAATTAGTTCAAAATTTCTTTCAACTTTAAACTAAATTCCTCCGATTCTAATTCCAATGCATCGATTTGGTGCTCCCAAATTCAGCTTAATGATTTTAGTCAGAGGAACTGTTGTTTTAAGGAAAAAGAAGTGATAAGAAAGATAAAATGATGAACTGCATACCTCAGACTCAAGGCATCTGCAAGCAGACTCAAGACAACCTTCAAGTGCTCTAAACTCAAATGGTAATAATTTTGTACCAGCAGCTACTGGAGCCTCTTTCATGCTAATAGGGTTGTTCTTTGCAATGTTATCCTCTGCGTCTGCGCCAATGCTATCATTTGCCTTTATAGAGAGAAGCAATGAAGTATTTAACTTACTGAATTATTTATATTTGTCAACCAGAAATATACTTAGCTTCTTCAATTATTAAGCATCTTAGATATATATGTAGCAGTTCATCTTTCCAACTAATATTTCACTAAAAGAGGTATAAAGAAAGAATATTTGAACGTCTGAAAATTGAAACGTTTTGTTGTGATGCATTTAAACACAAAAGTTGACCTCAAGGAAGTCATTACAAAAGTTGCAGCCATTATCATAAATAAATGGATTTTCAATTTTTTTTTTGAAAAGGTGCTTTCATAAAAAATAAAAAACACTTTAATGCACCGGTGATACATGACAGGGTATCATCAACTAATTAAATGTTGAGACGTAGTCACAGGACCCACTAAAATAGATGGACAAAATATAATGACTAGTGACACCACTAACATGGTACCCTTTCTTTTCATGGAAGCCTAAACTGTTACATTGCACAAGCCCATATATTTAGTAAACGAAAAAACAAGAAAAAATAAACTTGTTCAAATGCCTGAAAAAGTGAGTTATATGGTTCTACAAGCCTTGTGATTTACAGTGAATTGATTATATATCCATAAAATGTCTAAACATCCCATTTATGAAAGATCCATCCAGGACGTAGTACCTTGTGATGACGATACATCACATGACATTCAATACGTTTTAGAGGTAAATCAATAATATCTGTTCTATCATTCTATGTGTCCCACCTAAAATATATCTTATAATACACATGTGATACACTACACGATACGTGATAAAACATGTCTCATGAAGATATGGACGGTTTTTGTCTTTTTATAGAATGATTAACATAAACATAAAATTTGTAAAATTTCTCTAAAGATGCATATAGATTAAAGAGAAGAAAAGTATTTTCTCTCTCTAAATAATATTAATAGTTCTTTCTGTAAATGTTCTGTCTAGTTTTAATTTAGATTGAAGAGAGCATGTAAAAGAATCTTTCTATAGTGTTTATAATCTAACATGACTTGTTTCTGGCCTTTACATTAATGGGAGTATGATTGTTATACTAAACTTTTTCTAAAGAGGCGTGAAATTCATAATTATAGGCAAATTTTTTGAAAGACGAATTCCCGATAGGTTAGAACTTAAAATCTAAATCATGTGATAATATACCACATGTACACCACTGGGAAATTTTAAAGTTCAAATTTTGCTATGTTCTACTTTCACTAATCAATGAAATTATAAATGGAACATCATATTCTAAAGTTTATATCTATTTCAATTTTAATTCTGATGGTAAAGAATTTTTGACACTTGCATTTTCCTGCACATGACTATTACTAAAACACTATTGCCTTTCATTCGACAGTTTCACTTATTATTTTCTGTTCACGGATTCATTTTGAGAATTAAAATGTATGTTAGGACTTGTGACACACGATAAATATAAAAAATGATTTAAAAATAAAGAACTTGATACAATTTATGGTTTGAAAATTATATTGAATCATATAACCCTAACCAATTTTATACCACTTCAACTTTTCACTATTAAATACAAAAAAAAAATACAAATAAATTTTAATAAATTTTGAATCATGCAATTTATGGTTTGAAAATTATATTGAATCAATTTTAAATACAATTTATGGTTTGAAATTTTTTCACTATTAAATACAAAAAAAAAAAAAAAAAATACAAATAAATTGTTTCCATCATGAATGTGAAGGGTAATGAAGTTTTCTTTTATTAAAAAAAATTTAAAATTAAGCAAATATCTTTACATAAACCCAAAATGGGACCAAACTCATTCAATTTGAATCCTCTCTAGCAGTGCGCATAACTTTCGCAAAAGCACAAAGAGAGATCCTCAATAAACACAGTCCTAGAATAAGGAACCAACATCAATCTTGCCTTTATCCCGTATGAACGATGTTGGCCACATGGATCATATTTTTCCAATCTTTTCTAACATAAGCCATTAATCCAGCTCGATTTAATTTCTTAAAATCATTTCTGTCACTTCATTCCATGTTACTTTTGGTCGAACTCTTTATCTTTTACCTTCTATAAAAACCAAAATTTGCATCGAATATGTCCACACCACCTAAGTCTATTCTCTCTTATTTGTCTTGCTAATAGTGGCCACAATTAATTTCATAAAGATTACCCTAAATAATAGTGTAATCCTACCTTTATAGGAAAATCATTTGTTCCCCCCACATACGGTAAGAAATCTAGTTTTGGTATCCTTATATATGTCCTCAATAAGTTCTATAAATCTTATAGGAATATGTATCATAAGTCTATGAAACCATGTCTAGATTTTTTGTCTGGAACAAGGAACCAAGTAAGAAAATTTCATAGAAATAACAGTCAAAGCAGAGATATACATATATACACATATATGTGTGTGTAATGTGTATATATCACATGCCACATGATGCTCTCTTGCCCTCATCCTGCAACTCCAACTTGACAAGTATTGCAACAACATTTACAACCACTAAATAAAACCATAATACATAATACATATACTACATATATATATATATATATATATATATATATATATAATGAGCACAAAAATAATGGTAATACATGCAATAGAAAATTAAATTGTGACAAAGATAACCTGATTGGGCACGGCATTGGAACCGGAAACCCGGTGCTGAAGATCCTCCACGAATTGGACAACCAAAGGGTTGGTAGTATTAACCATCAAGACCTCCTTGGCTGTGATGATTGCCTTGATGTGCTCCAAATTGATGACAATCGCCCTCTCTCTCCCAAGAATCGTCGAAGGGTACGACAGCATCGGATCCAGAACCCTAAGATCACGCCCGGGCAGCCCCGTCCTCCGCATGATCGAGTGCTTTCCGACCTCCTCCAGCCGCAAATCACCCGATTCCGACACCACCAGCCACACCCGAGTCCCAATACCCTTCCGCCGCGGTTGCACGTGAACCATCGCCGCTCTGCCCAATTCTTCCTCTCCGTATGGATGGTTTCTCGAAACCATTGTTGGGTGAAAATGTGTGTGTTTTTCTTTTTTTCAACTAGTTTCTTCCGCGCTTTTTTAATCTCTTTATGGTGAATCTCTTTCTAGGAAGGTGGTTTCAAGGTTCCGTGAACTTATTTGCTTCAATTTCGTTTCTAGGGTTTGAAGGTTCCGTGAACTTGTTTGCTTCAATTTCCGAATAAATGAAATCAGTTAAATTAGTTATACATACTCTTGTCGTGTACGTGGTTCCCGCCAAATTCGGATTCTGTTGGTGAAGATAATTGAAATGGACCGATAATTGGGGGTGGGTTGGGCCGCACGAGTTACGGGCCCAATAAGAGAATCATGTATACATTGTTCGGAATGGATTAGGCTTCTTCAAATATTTTGGCACGTCTTTTATCGAAAATACGAATATGGATAGAGAAACGAATATGATATTATACTAATGACACAGTATGACACATTACCTATATCTATATTATAAAAAGAACAAACTATTTATATCATATTTTTAAGTTTTATAACATTTATTTATTTATTCTTTTATTTATAATGTATTTTTAATAATAAAATTTAGTTTTTTAAACTTATTCCCTAATTATATTGTAATTTCAAACTCTCTCTAAATAACAACATGGCATTAGCGTGGCCTAATTGATAGTTGTTAAAACAGTGGTGTATCTGTTTTATAGATTATTGGAATAAATAATATTATAAAAAATAAAACAGTGGTGTATAGTTATTCTTCGTCTCGGGGCAGAAAATTTGAGTTATTCAAACAGAGAGGACAATTTGATGTGCTCGCATATTAAATCTCTCTCTCTTTTTTTTTTTTTTTCTTTTTTTTTCCTAGTTAATATACCTAAAAATTCAAAAGCAATTAAATTTCAAGATTGATAACTATCCTATCTTTTTCCAACTTTATCGTTCCTTCAAAGCTATTATCTTTAATTTTGGTCATTAAAAACTAATTTTTCCTTCCAAAATTAACAAAACAATAAATAGTACAGTCTATATCTATAATTTATACATCTCTACACTTTTGAATACAAGTAAATTAGTTTTAGAAGATTGACAGCATATTTATTACCAATAAAAAAATTTATCATTCATTAGGATATTTTTATTTTTTATAATATTATTTATCCCAATAATCTATTCCTATTTTGAGTTTCTGTCATTTATTTATTTTAAAAGAATTTCTATCACATATTTATATATTTCCTTTTCAATCAAACCTTTTCTGAAAGAGTTTCTTTCACATATAATATGAATATTCCTTTAATATTAACTATGTAGACACCACATTTTCCCCTACCCATTGATTGCGGCATTTTGGTAAAATTCAACTAAATATAGTAATAATATTCATTTTTTAATATATTCACTAATGAAAAATAACACTAGTTAAAAAAATCAGAAAAATGAATGTCACTGTTGGATCTAGAAGGTCCTAAAACATTATGATACACTAGGGGCTATTTGGCACGCGATGTGTTTTAGGCTTTGTACTTTTTGTTAATACCAAAACAACCGTTTTGTTGTAGGAGTGTTTTGGATAGAAATCGGAACCATGTTTGATAATGAAAATTTATTTTGAAAATTTTCTTTAATTTCTGGGCTACGATACCAAAATACACAATATCACCAATGTGGTGATATGAAATTGGGCAAAAAAAATCTAATATGTTATGAAGTATTCCAAACCAATATCAACCGATCAAGTATAATATGAGTCCAAATTTAAATACTAATATTAAAAAAATACTATCATAACACACGCCAAACAAGAGCTTTGTTGCACATTCTTTTCTTTCTTTTATGAGTTTCATCCGTCAACAGTGGCGTAGCCACATGGGGACAAGTGGGGGTAGTTGCCCCCACAAAATTTTTAATTTTTTAAAATTTTATATGGAAAGATTTTTGTATTTGTGTAATTGTCTTCTCTAAAATTTGACAAAGCACGTATGTGTATATATATATATATATATATATATAACCAAAAGCCTCTAAAATTTGACGGTGCACGTGTGTGTGTATATATATATATAACCAAAAGCTCATTCACGGTTATCTATCAATTTATACTTTTTCAGAAAATATGATATATATATTTTTTCATTTTCCCAAAATATTATATTCTTTTCCATTTTTTATAAAAAAAAAAAAAAAAAAAAAAAAAAAAAAAAAAAAAAAAAACACATTTCACCAAGATATTCTATCATACTTTTGACTTTACACAAACAAATAGATTGTTTCCATTACATCTTCAGTCTTCAAATATTTTCCACAATCAAACAAAGCAAGCGGCAAGCGGAGTTAACAATAGACAGAGACTCAACACAGTGCGGCAGATAGGTAATCTAATATATTTTTTTTATCATCTAAATTTTACGATTATTATTTGATATTATAATTTAATTAGAAAAATTATTAGTTATTATTATCAAAATTATTTTTGGACTTGTTCTTTCAAAATTTAGTTGTGTAATTGTGTTATTAATTATTATTCTCTAAATAAAATTTAGAATTTTTTATTTTTTTATTTGCAGTCCAAATCAATGAAATCACATATTCAACTTTATCAAATTTTCTGATGGATTGAATTATATGGTTATAACTTATAAGGTTAGATTTAGTTATCATGGTTTTTTTATTTTTATTTTTTCTACATATATGATATATTAGAACAATTAGGTAATTGTGTTATTTTTTTTTCATATCTTATTCTTGATTCATTGAATATGATTTTTTTTTTTAGTATATTTAATTCAATGAATTAAATTTTGAAACAACAATGAATAATGTGAAAAATCATTGTTAATGTACTAAATAAAAATATTATGAGTCAATGTTTTATTTTTTACATATATTGTTTTGGTAAAAATTATATATATATATGATGTAAAATTATGGCTTTGCTCCTTTCATTAATCGAGTACTACACGGGCATTGAGAATCTTACCAACCGGGGGAGTCTTTTACAAAACAAACTGTTTGCTTCCGGATAGGAGATTCAAAGGGAAGAATCTTACCTGAGTTGCTTTTATGTCCCAGAAAAAACCTCAGCTTGTAGTTCTCACGTGAAATATGAATCCTTTTAGGTTCATTATTTCAATCATTAAGGAAGTGGCTTTCTTTTGACACTACCTGAGTTGCTTTTATGTCCCAGAAAAAACCTCAGCTTGTAGTTCTCACGTGAAATATGAATCCTTTTAGGTTCATTATTTCAATCATTAAGGAAGTGGCTTTCTTTTGACACTACCTGAGTTGCTTTTATGTCCCAGAAAAAACCTCAGCTTGTAGTTCTCACGTGAAATATGAATCCTTTTAGGTTCATTATTTCAATCATTAAGGAAGTGGCTTTCTTTTGACACCCAAGTCTACATATTATTGTTATTAAATATTGTCAAAAGAAACTCATAATTTTACGTGAGAACTTCCTTAATGATTGAAATAATGAACCTAAAAGGACTCATATTTCACGTGAGAACTAGAAGCTGAGGTTTTTTCTGGGACATAAAAGCAACTCAGGTAAGATTCTTCCCTTTGAATCTCCTATCCGGAAGCAAACAGTTTGTTTTGTAAAAGACTCCCCCGGTTGGTAAGATTCTCAATGCCCGTGTAGTACTCGATTAATGAAAGGAGCAAAGCCATAATTTTACACTTTTAATTCGTTCAAATTTAATTAAAATTTAAAAATTAATCTAATATAATTTTCAAATAAAAAAACAGACTCTGTCATTGCATCCAAAACGCGTCCAACCTTTGGAGTAGAAAAATTAAAGTATATATAATAGAGTAGAAAAATTAAAGTATATATAATCAAGTAATTGTTGGCTTAGTGCCAGCAACCATTACGTGGTTTGCGGGCCCATTCTTTTATAGGTTTGTAATATCAAACTAGCAAACACAGAAGGAAAATTTAATAAGTGAGGTTATTATTGTGGCCTTACAAATATGACCATATTCAAATAGTATATGGGTGAAAGGGCCTCCAAACTAAAATAATTACTACCTTCGTTCCATATTAATTGTTAACTTTGAAAATTTTAACTTACAAATTGCGACTAAAAATAACTTTAAATAACCCAAAGATAAAAGGTAGTAGTAGGTTAAAATTTTTGAAGTGGACATCTAATATGGGATAGAGGGAGTACTAAATAAGGAATTCTACTATTTTGGTTCGAACAGTCCTTAATCACTTTTGAGTCATTTACACACATACCCTCCATACTAAAATTTTATAAAATATTTCATATTTGAACTAAAAATAAAATGACTGTTACCCTCATTATATTCCTACATATCATCTAACAAATCACAAGACCAAACACCCAAATCAGTTGTCTTCCTCTCACCGCCTTCGCCCCCCTCATGCCCTAACTTACCGCTCACCTCGTGCCCAAACTTTGCGGCCCACCTCGTGCCCTAACTTTGCCCTAATTCATTCAGCTCAACAATGGCGACAATCATGATCTGAGTTCATAGCAACATGGTCGGCGATTCGAGTTCATAGCAACACGATTGACTGTTTACTCCACCTTGTCGCCTACCTCACACCTTTACCTTTCATCTAACTGGACCTTTATTACTGTCTCCCTCTCGACAACGTCACCGGCAACGATTTGAGTCTTACTTTATACAACCCAGGGGTGCACAAAAATCCGGTTGAACTGATAAACATGGAACCATTTATAAATGGTTCAGTTATGGTTTAAGGCTCTACAAGATTGAACCGAACCGTTTTATAAATTGTATATATATTTATATGTTTTGTCTTATATAAATAATAGAATAATAAGATTAGTCTTTTAATCACTCAACTATATATAAGAGCATCTCTAGTGGTCTGTTAAAAAACCCTTTTGTGTAAAATATACACTGTCACATATGATTTTTGAATTTTCTCCATCTTTAACAGTCTGTTAAGATATACTGTCACATCACCAATGTGTAAAAGGGTTGTGTATTTTACACAGCCTTTTTACACAGCTACGTAACCATATTTTCTCTCTCCTCCCCATTTCCCACTCACGGTTCTCTTTCTTCTCTCACATTCCTTTACGCCTCTTTGTTTCTCACTTTTCTAGAGCGCCATAGAGAAGAATTTGCAACTGGTAGCAAGATAAAACTACCCAACCATCATTAATACACACAC